CCTTGCTTCTTCTGCGGCTGCCCTGGGCTCCTGCTCAGGCCGCTCCCCCTGGGTGTCACTGGCAGCCCCGCCCTCACTGGAGAGAACCACTCGATTCTTCTCTGGCTGAGGAAGGGGGGACAGGAGTCTCAGAAGCAATACTGGCCCCATAGCGGGCTACCAGGCACACTAGATAGTCCCCTACCCTGCTTGCCTCCTCTCTCCCTTCTCCTCTCAGGTTATTTTTGATTTCTCCCTTGCCTAACACCCTTCTTCCCCTCTGTGCCAGTGTCCACACCCTCATCCTCCCCGTCACCTCCTGGTCACCCTACACCCAGGACCACAGCTGTCAGCAGTGTCCTCAGCTCATGCTGGCGCTCTCTCCTTCCTCAATAGCCCCCAGAGGGCCCCCTGGCCAGACGGGGGCCCCGACTCGAGAGCTGGCACTCTCCGTTGCCCTCTGGTTGAGTTGGGGGGCAGCTCTGGGGGCTCTGGCCTGCGCCATGGCTCTGCTGACCCAACAAGCAGAACTGCAGGCCCTAAGGAGAGAGGTGAGCGGGCTGCGGAGGACTGGAGGACCTTCCCGGAAGGGGAATGGGCAGCCCTGTCAGAGCCTCAGAGAGCAGGTGAGTGAAGAGAGAAGACTGTCTGGGAGAGGATGATGGGTGTCAGGGTCTTCGGGCCTCTTCGTTGTTCCTGTCTCCTGGTCTGCAAAGCTTCGAGGGGGTGCCAGAGAGGGTCCTGGGTCTGTAAGTCGAGGGAGCGGCCATTCCGGGAAAGGAAACGGTTAAAGATCAATGCTTCTCATACCTCACAGATCCTGGAGGACAGCCAGCACCAAGATTCAGGGTGCTGGGGAAAGGTGCCTGAGAGACGTACAGCACTCCTGGGGCTGGGGAGGGCTGCGGAGAAGGCAGGGCGACTGGGCCCTGGCATCTTCTAGCCCTGACTCTCTTTCCATGAACAGAGTCCTGAGGACCTGGAAGGCTGTGGGGAGAATGGGGAGTCAATCCGGAGGAGAAGAGCCTTGTTCACCCCAAAACAGAAGAGTGAGGCCTCTGGGGTGGACGGTGATCGAGCAGAGTGGGGTGATGGGTTGGGAGTGGGGCCCGCTGAGCATAGGGCAGCTGGGGCAGGTGGACCCTGCCCAGACATCTTCCTTCTCCCTCCAGAGCAGCATTCGTACTCGGCTCTGCACCTCGTGCCCGTGAACACCACCTCCAAGGGTGAGCTTTGTGGAGGGGCTGCAGCAACCAGGGCGATGTGGGGCTGGCGCCTGGGTCCAAGCAAATCGTCAAACGTCTGAAAGGGTACAGAAATCCTGACTGCCACACTCCTCACCTCCAGAGGACTCTGATGTGACAGAGGTGATGTGGCAGCCTGCTCTCAGGCGGGGTAGAGGCCTGGAGGCTCGAGGATATGTTGTCCGAGTCTGGGACTCTGGAATTTATCTGCTCTATAGCCAGGTAACCCATCATACTCTGAACCTCCATGGGGGTCCAGAGGCCTCCTCTTCCCTGTTTTCCCGCAGCCAGGATACCCCCCCATCCTGAGGGCTCCAGGCCTGTTTGTCCAAACTAAGCTTAAAAGACCTTTCTTCATTCCCTGGGTCCAGATCAGGGCTCCCAAGGCCTCCTAGATTTGAGCCATGCCACTCCGTTTGATTTCCTCCCTGCCCAACCAGGTTCTGTTCCACGATGTGACTTTTACCACGGGTCAGGTGGTTTCTCGGGAAGGCCAGGGAAGGGAGGAGACTCTCTTCCGGTGTGTAAGGAGTATGCCCTCCAACCCTGACCGCGCCTACAATAGCTGCTACAGTGCAGGTGAGACCATGCTAGCTAAGGAAGCTGGATGTGCAGAGTGCCTGAGGGGTCTCGGAAGGGGTGGAGGGGACCGATAGGGGCATGAGCCAGGGGGTGGGGGGTGGAGAGGCAGATGTGAGGAACAAAGGACAGTACACCCAGGTTCGCGTAGGAAAGATGTAATTTGAGAAGGAAGAGGGAGACATCTGGAGGATGGCGGTGCCTCCGTAAGCATCTTTTTCTCCCCCTTTTCAGGTGTCTTCCGTTTGCACAGAGGGGATATCCTGAGTGTCCTAATCCCCAGGGCAGGGGCCAAACTCAGCCTGTCTCCACATGGCACCTTCCTGGGGCTGGTCAAACTATGACCGTGTTCCGAGGGGTGGGCCCGAGCCTGGAAGACCAGGGTGGGTATATCTTGGTAACAGCCCACAGCTGACCCGACCAAGGAATGGAGTGAGCTGGAGTGAGCGGGAACACAGGCCTTTTTCTGGATTTGACTTGAGGACTTTCTGTTCGCTTTTCCCTTCCCTGCCCCAATCGCAGGCCTATGATTTCATGGATATTAAAGAGCTAGAAGAACTTGCTTTTATGCCCCGAGCAGGGGGCAGGGAGGCACGCTTCAGTCCAGACCTACTACGGGCCCCACTAGAATGCTTCCATACACAGCACTACCACCTAGCGGGAGTTTGAGGGACTCATCCTACCTAATGGCGGGGATCCACGGAGCCTCGCGCCGCTCCCTCAGCGAAGCCCTCGGTGCCCTCTGCCGCACTCCTCCTCTCGGCACCGAGAAGCCTCGCCCCCACCCTACTGGCCGCTACTTCCCCATACATTTTCTCCTCTATCTACTGAGGACCCGTCTTCATCACTATCTCCAGAGGTGCCTTTATGATGCGCCCGTTTGCTAGGGGTCCCCTCTCGGCCACATTACTCTTCGGGGTCCAAATTTTGTCTGCGGCGCGCTCTACGCCCTGGTGTGGCAAGTCACTCCAAGCCACGCTTGGCCAGGCCAGGTCCCCGGGCACCCGGGACGGATGCCACGGCCAGGTGGTGGTCACGAAGGTTACGCCTGGGGCTCTCCTTTCTGCTCCGGCCTTGCATTAAGTTACGTAAATAAAAAATAAATGATACCCCGGGCTTGTTTCCCCCACTGCCTCGCCTCGGTCCTTTCCCTCCCAGTTTGCCACTGGCGCGTGCCGCTGGACGAAGATACTGGGGTTCCCCCCGGTTGCACGCTAGACTAGCGCCCAGAAAGGAAGGCTACGGAGCAGAGCGCGAGGAGAAACCCGACACGCAGGCGCAAAAAAGGGGCGGAGGCTGGGGGTGGGCGGAGAGGGGAGCTTGGGGGAGCGGGTGCCGACGGCCCAAGTTGGCGAGTTGTGCGCAGGCGCAACCCTGACGGGGCGCGCGGAGGCGGGCCAATCCCGTGGCGTCGGCCGTGATCGGTGGGCGGGACGAGCGTGCGGTGCCGGCGCGCGCGCCGCTCGCCGGGTGTGACGCAGTAATCGTGCGCCTCCACTGCCGGTGGGCCTGGGGCTCGCGGGAGGGGAAGGAGGGGGAGGGGGAGGGGGCGGTAGTGGAGAGGGAGGCTGAACCAGAGCTCGCAGCGGTCGCGGCGGGGCGGCTCGGTTGCGCGCGCGCGGCCGAGGAGCGTTGGAATCCCGAGTTCAGACGGCTGCGCCTGAAGACAGCCGGCGTGGTGGGTCCGCCACCGTCGCCGGAGAGATGAGCCGGGAAGCCTGAGGCTGGAGACGCCCGCCCTCCGGCCCGCCCGCCCGGCCTCCCCGCTCCCGGTGAGGACGCCCCTACCCCTCCCCCAGCCTTGCTGCGAGGCCCTCTCATTCTGATACCTCGCTTTCACCTACCCAGGCCTTCGGAGGCCGTTAGAGGGACTTGAGGAGGCTCTTGTGCGCCTAACTGCCCGGTCCTGTAGAATTATGCCGATACTGAGGAGACTTGGTCCGGTCCCCGGGGACGGGGCCAGAGGGGGCTGGGCCGGCCTGGCTCCTGCCCCTCGGGTCTGTTCCAGCGCCCAGCTTCTGCTGCCTTAGCACGGATTTGGCGCTCCCTGTTTCCTTCCAATTCTTTTTCTTTTCATCAGACGCTACTCCCTGAACCGTAGCCCTGGGAGCCACATACCTTCTTGAAAGGACCTGACGTCAGGTGGTCGAGAACTCGTCCCACGATAGCCTGTGGTTCCCCTCCGGAAGTTGTATTTGTATCTCTGTACCGTGTCAGGATTCCCACACTGACACCTAGGTACAGGTAGCACAACCTTTAGGCCTTCAAATGACACACGTGGTAAAAGACCGAAGAAATTCCTGGGTGTCTGGGAGGGCTGAGAAATCAGACGGTGGAGGCCTGCTGCTGGGCCATTCTCCCGGGCTGTATGTGGTCAGAGATAGAATGATGGCACCGTCTCTAGATGACCCTTTGTGAACTACGTTGACTATGAAGCTAGGAATTTTGCAATTTTCCCTTGTTGCTGAGGTAGAGTAGGATGATGGATCTAAGGGACAGGATGTTTGGATTCTGAAGCTAACCTTTGTTTTACAGGTTGCTGAAAGATGAAAGAGACTACACAAGGGACAGGGCCTTGGGGCCCTGAGCCTCCCAAACCTGGCTTAGGCCCACTTTACTCAAGCCCCAGGAGAGAGCGCATTCGTTGGCCCCTACCCCCTAAACCCCGACTCAAATCAGGTGGAGGGTTTGGGCCAGATCCTGGGATAGGGACTCCAGTGCCAGCTAGATGCCTCCCTGTCCCTCGGCCCTCCTTTGATGCCTCAGCTAGTGAAGAAGAGGAGGACGAGGAAGAGGAGGAGGAAGATGAAGAGGAGGAAATGGCATCATGGAAGCTGCCCCCCAGATGGGGTCAACTGGGAACTCCCCAGAGGCCCCGCCCTTGCCGTCCCAATCATCGAAAAGCCTGCTCACAACGCCGCCGCCGAGCTATTCGAGCCTTTCGGATGCTGCTCTACTCAAAAAGCACCTCACTGACATTCCACTGGAAGCTTTGGGGGCGTCACCGGGGTCGGCGGCGGGGCCTCGTGCACCCCAAGAACCATCTTTCACCCCAGGAAGGGGGCGCTACACCACAAGCACCATCCCCCTGCTGTCGTTTTGACTCTCCTCGGGGGCCACCACCTCCCCGGCTGGGTCTGCTAGGTGCTCTCATGGCTGAGGATGGTGTGAGAGGGTCTCCACCTGTGCCCTCTGGGCCCCACATGGAAGAAGATGGGCTCAGGTGGACTCCAAAGTCTCCTCTGGACCCTGACTCAGGTGAGACAAGAAAGGATCTGGGGCGGGCAGCTAAGAGCCTGAAGCAGCAGGATCCTCTCTTGATTGGGGTGAGAACTTGTCCTGAGGACAGTAGAGTGAGTGGCAGAGGGAGGGTCCAGGATAGCTATGAACTTGGAGCAGAAATTAAGCTTGGAAAAACATCCCTAAGGAGTTGTCTTGCGACCTGGAACACAGATGAGAAGGACAGTCATTCGTGGTTTTGAAAAAGCAGTCTTGTCCATTTGAAATCCCCCATCAGACAGCCTCTTACAGAAGGGTCTGGGGGGATGAGCCAGTCAGGGTGCAGTAAGTACAGCACCGATGAATCATACAACTTTCCTCTAGTTCTTCAATGCCTCTCTCCCCCACCCCCACCCCACTATCATGACCCCAATTTACTTTACAAATCTGGCTAGACCAGAGCATGTACACGGGTACAGATAAGAGCTGGAAACATAGGGAATCCCAGACAGATAAACCCGTTAGGACTAATAATGAGGGTAGCCACACCAGGAGGGGACGGGGATGGTGGGGGGAGGAAGGGGGAACCAATCACAATGATCTACCTATAGCCCCCTCCTAGGGGGATGGACAATAGAAAGATGGGTAAAGGGAGACATCAGTCAATGTAAGACATGAAAAAAGAATTGATAAGTTATCAATGGTTCATGAGAGATGAAGGGTGGGGGAAGGAGGGGAAAAATGAGAAGCTGATACCAAGGGCTCAAGTAGAAAGAAAATGTTTTGAAAATGATGGCAGCAAACATACAAATGTGCTTGAATGATGGATGTATGGGTTGTGATAAGAGTTTTATGAGCCCCCAATAAAATGATTTATTAATAATAATTTTTTAAAAATCAGCCTCTCTGGGCAAGAGCCTGTGTGTGGGATCTCGCCTAATAGTGCAGTACATATTCTGTATGGACACCCACGACATCCCACTCAGCATTTTCCTTTCGGAGAAATTCAGCCAAACATACTGTCAGACCTTTAACATCTGCTTTTAAGTTTCCAAATATCTAAAGAGCCATCACTATATACCAGGTTCTGGGCATGCAGTAGTGGTAAATGGCTCTGGAATTTAATTCTCTGAATCCTAAACTTTTCTTGCTTTCTTCCTCTCTGCCTTTCTCAGAAACTTGCACGTTTGTCCCATGCTTTCGTGTCTTTGTTCCTTAGGATCTAGTATGAAAAGAACCCCGCTACCATCTAGTTGATTCTGAGCCCATATAGGGTTTCTGAAGCTGTGAACCCTTGCAAGAGCAGATAGCCTTACCATTCTCTCTTGCACACTGGTGGGTCTGAATAACTAAGCTTGACGTGCAGTTTGCAGTCCAGTGTTCACCAGCAGTGCCACCAGGGCTCCTTAGTGTCCAATATTGGTAGAGGTATTATATACTTCATATTTCTTGTGGTTTTGTAATTTTGTGTGCATTATTTAATCCTCCCATTTTCTCTGGGTAAATTTCACATCCCCATCGTTTTCCTTCTCGTACAGGCCTCCTCTCGTGTACTCTGCCCAATGGCTTTGGTGGCCCACCTGGTCCAGAAGGGGAGCACAGTTTGGCACCCCCTGATGCCAGCATTCTCATCAGCAATGTGTGTAGCATCGGGGACCATGTGGCCCAGGAGCTTTTTCAGGGCTCAGATTTGAGCACTGTGGAAGAGGCAGAGCGCCTTGGAGAGAAACCTGGCCAGCACAGCCCACTGAGGGAGGAGCACGTGACCTGTGTGCAGAGTAAGGCACTCTAAAGGATCTAGACTCTATCCCTCAGCAACTTTCTAGATCAGAGTCTGGGGCCTTACCTATACCTCTCTCCATCCTCCACTCAGGCATCTTAGATGAATTCCTCCAAACTTACGGCAGCCTCATCCCCCTCAGCACTGATGAGGTAGTAGAGAAGTTAGAGGACATTTTCCAGCAAGAGTTTTCTACACCTTCCAGGTGAGGCTTGAAAGAGATGTCCTTCAAAGGCAGGCTGCGGGGAGGGAAGAGAGTGTTTACCCTTAGGGAGGTACTTGGCAGCTTGACCTAAAGAGGGAAGGAAACGGCAGGCAAGGTATCAAGTTCCTAGAAACTGGCTGGGAGGGTCGATGCATGGAATCATGAAATTCTGTGTGTACCCCAGAACTTATGTGACTTTTCTAGGGAGTGGGCCTTTGGCAGCCCTGTACAAGGACCCATGACCAGAAAACCGTGAAATCAGTTTAGGCTTTCATTCAATGCAGTAGAAGATACTTCTGTGTGCTCCAGCCCCCTTCTCGCTTGATTCCACTCTTGGCCTCTTCAGGAAGGGCCTAGTGCTGCAGCTGATCCAATCCTACCAGAGGATGCCAGGCAATGCCATGGTGAGGGGCTTCCGAGTGACCTATAAGCGACATGTGCTGACCATGGATGACTTAGGGACCTTGTATGGACAGAACTGGCTCAATGACCAGGTGAGAATGGGTGGAGAAACTGGCCCAAGGGGATTTGGGGAGCCGGGTGTCTGGGGGCCCTCTGCATGGGGGAGCCCTGTGCCTATGCTGCACCCTCCATGGCAAGTTGCCTCCAATCTTCTCCCCAGGTGATGAACATGTATGGAGACCTGGTCATGGACACGGTCCCAGAAAAGGTAGGTCCAACCAGGTACTTCATTCCCTGAAGCACTTGTTTGGTTCGAAGTGCTTTTTGCAGTCCCTTTCACGTCTCCCGTTTTACCTTAAAGGGGCTTTTTGTTTTGTTTTGGGAGGAAGTAGGGGTGGCAGGTTATTTTTTAAATTCAAAGCTGTAGTCTTGACCTTGAGTTTCTCAATTATATTCCTTTCCCTAGTTTTTAATGTTCTTTCTCTGTAACCTCAAGAATTAGGATAGAAAGCGGATCTATATTTTCATTTTTTTACCCTAAGTGAATTGGAGTGAGGGTTGTTGGAACCCATCCTTAGAGCCACAGTGAAATGGAGTGGATTGGGTAGAGGAAGTGAGAGGTGTGAATAGGTGGGAGACTTGCAGGGGCTGAGGTCTTTAACTCCATCAGCTCTTTTGTGTCATTGGGACAGGTGCATTTCTTCAACAGTTTCTTCTATGATAAACTCCGTACCAAGGGTTATGATGGGGTGAAAAGGTGGACCAAAAATGTGAGTTTTGAATTTATATCTACTTGTGTAACACCTTCCCTTCAAAGAACTGTAATTCTGTTTTCTATAAGCCCTTCCCACTACCCTGTTAATTTAGTCTTTTGAAGATTAATTAAACGTTTTCTGCTTGTAAGACAATGTTCTAGGCAGTAATTAAATAAGGAAAACTCCTTGCTCTACAGAATGAAAGTAAAACAATAATGTAGAGTGACTAAGAGGAGGGTACTTTGAGTTGGGTGCCCTAGAAAGGCCTCTTAGCCAAAACTGGAATGACGAGGAGCCAGCCATGTGCACATCTGAGAGAAGAGTGTTGTAAGCACAGGAAGCAACAAACACAAGAAGACTTCATCCATAAGATGCAAGGGGAGAAAGAGCATGTCTGAGGAACTGAGTGCACATGTAGGTGGCCTTTTGTGGCTAGAGTAGAATGAGCAAAGAGAATGTGCAAATAGGGCAAAGAGTCGAAGATGTACAGTATGTAAGGTAGGCTGGAGTGTACATTTTTTTTTATGTTCTAAAATTGTGGGGTTTTTTAAATCATTTTATTAGGGGCTCATACAACTCTTATCACACAATCCATAGAGAGTGTGTACAATTTATTCTGCATGTACTGAGAAGCTGTTGAAGAGTCCTAAGGCAGGAAGTGACTCTCATGTTTTGAATTCTTGTTTTAATAATGGGTAGAAGTGTCAACAAGAGGGAAAGCAGGCACACTGACTAGGAGTGTAGCCGAGTAATCAATCCCCTTGGATCAGAGACGTTTTTAATTTATGTAGGATAAGTTTTAAAGTAGATTTGATAAGACATTAAGGTGGATTGGATCTGGGAAATGAAGAAAGGAAAATCAAGGATGATAATCCAGACCTTTGGCCTAAGTAATGGGGAAGGTTGAGGGAGCAGCACTTCTAGTGGAGAAAGTTATGAGTTCCCTTCTCCGGCCAGTTAATTTCTACAGTGACATAATACCATTGACTTCAGCCTCTGCTAATTTCTTTCTCTGGCTTCTAGTTGAGGTGCTGGTGACATGGATTGAGCTGGTCCTCTGTACTGCTACGTGTACTCTTGTCTTATTTTACTTTTCTGAACTGCAGTGTATGCGTTTGCTTGGTTGAGCAGGAGAAGTTCCATGTGGGTTTGCTGTGAGCACTAACATGTCCCAGGCATTGTTCTGAGTGCATTATGAGTATTAACTAGTTCACTTCCCTTGCACACATGAGGTGTCTGTACTGTTATTTTCACCCTCTTTTAGAGGCAATCTACTTTTAAAAAACTGGCATTGATAACCTTATGAATAGCAGCAGACAGAGTACTAGAAGAGGTGCTTCTCAGGTTGGAAGACACTCAAAATATGACTGAAGAAGTGCGGCCTCTTCAAAGCAGAGTTGACCTTAATGACATGGATGAATTGAAGATTTCAGTACCTTCATTTACTGATACGGAACAACTCATACAAAGAAACGGCAAACATTCATTCATTAGTAACTGGAATGTGGAATACACAAAGTATGAATGTAGGAAAATTGGAAATCATAAAAAATTAAATGGAACAAATGCATTTATGAGTGAGCTGAAAAGGACGTGTATGGTTTTTCATTTTGAATGAAAAATAGTTTACTATGCTGGAAATGACCCTTTGAAGAGGAAAGGAATCATATTCATCTATCTGAAGTACAATGCTGGCAGTGATAGAGCCATACACCTACCAGAAAAACCATACTACTAGTACTAGAATTCACACAACGAACACTAATGCCAGCAAAGGAACTGAAGATTTTTTACCAACTTCAGACAAATTGATCAAACATGCAATCAAGATGCATTGATAATTACTAATGCTTGGAATGTGAACATTGGAAAATAGGATCAGTGGTTGGAAATTAAGGCCTTGTTGGAAACAATAATAACATTTTTGCAAGACCAGTTGACTTAATCATTGCATTTGCCTTTTTTTCTTTTTTAATCCAAAAAGATAAAATGCCAGACTACATGAGGACCTTACCAGATGGGATACACAGGAACTGAATGCTGAACAGGCAAATTCAAGTTGAAAATTTCAACAAGTTCGTGAGCGTCAAAGTACAATCTTGAGTATATTCCACCCGAATTGAGGGAGCATCTCAAAGATAGGTTTGATATTTTGAACATACATAAAGATAAAAGGCTGTATTTAAAAAGACAGGAAAGAGAAAAGACCAAAACGGATGTCTTAAGAGAGACTCTCAATAGAGAAAATGAAGTAAATGAACTGAACGGAAGATTTTAAAGGTTGCCTCAAGTAGACAGTGTAAAGTACTACGATGAAGTGCAAAGTTCTTGAATTAGCCAAGCTGAACAAAAATTCAAGCCTCGAGTTGTTGTATTGAAGGATTCTATGGGCAAAATATTAAAGGATGTAGGAAACATTAAAATAAGGTGGAGAGAATACACAGTCACTACCAAAAAGAATGGGTGGTGGTCAACCATTTCCAGGAGAGAACAAATGGTAAAAAAAAGTGTTGAAGAAGTCCACCTTGTACGAGATCAAACATCCGTCTTGGAAGAAGTACATGCAGAATGCTCCTTAGAGACAAAGATGGAGAGACTTTAAGGACATTGTGATTGGTACAGTGGAGGGGCAGCGAAAAAAAGGAAGGCCCTTACCGAGATGGATTGACACAGTGGCTGCAACAGTGGACACACATATAAGAACAATTGTGAAGATGGCGCAGGGCCAGGCAGTGTTTTGATCTCTTGGCTGTACGGAGGGTCACTTTGAGTCAGCCTGACTGGATGGTCCCTCACAACCACCAAAACACTGATCAACGTTAAAACATTTCAGGAGAGAGCGTGGTAGAAAACAAAGTATTTAAGAAGTCAGTCCAAGCTGTGCTGCTAATGGCACTGGCATAAATAAGGCTCCAGAAAATGACAGAATACCAATTGAAGTTTTTTCAGTAAACAAATTGGAAATGCCCACTCATCTACACCAAGAAATTTGAAAAGACACCAGCCGCGTGACTAGATGAAATTCATATTTGTGCCCAATGCAACATTCAGCAGAATATGAAAATTATTGCACACTATAATTAATGTTATTAATAGGCAGTAAAATTTTGCCAAGGATAATTAAAAAACAGTTGCACTAATGCATCAACAGGAAACTGCAAGAAAGTAAAGCTACATTCAGAAGTCGTTATAGAATGCTGTCAGGTGGATTTTGGCTGAAAGCAGAGAATACCAGAAAGGTATTTGTGTTTTATAGACTGTGCAAAGGCATTTAGCTGCCTTTATTAAATTATAGTTAAGATTATAAAAAACAGGAGTTCCATAACATTTAATTGTGCTTATGGGGAACCTATGAATAGACCAAGAGACAATTGTTGAAACAAACAAGGGATGCTTCCTAGTTTAAAATTAGGAAAGGTGTGTGTTAGGGTTGTAACTTTTCACCGTACTTACTCAATTTATATGCTGAGCAAATAATCTTAAGAAGCTGGACCGTCTGTCATTAGGACTGGAGGAAGATTTGCCTTGCTGAAATTGAAGACAATTTAAAGCACTTATTAATAAAGATCAAAGATTACACCTCAACGTAAAACATGCTCACAATTGGACCAGTAAGCGGCATCATGGTAAATGGAGGCAAAGGTGAAGTTATCCAAGGATTTAATTTCACTACCAGGAACTACCAGCAGAAGCAGTGGTAAAAACAAAAATCACACTACATATACTGGACAAATCTGCAAAGGACTTCTTTATAGTACTTAAAAAAAAATAAAGCACAGATAGAACTTTGAGAACTAAGTTGTGCCTTACCCGTACCATGGTATTTAAAAAATTTTTTAAATCATTTTATTGGGGGCTCGTACAATGCTTATCACAATCCATACATCTGTTGTCATCTTCATTCTCAAAACATTTGCTTTCTACTTGAGCCCTTGGAATCAGCTCCTCCCTCCCCCCCTTTTTAAATACTTTTATTGGGGGCTCTTACATCTCTTTATCACAATCCATACATTCATCCAGTGCGTCAAGCACATTTGCACATATGCCGCCATCATCATTTTCAAAGCATTCTCTTCCCACTTGAGCCCCTGATATCAGCTCCCCTTACCATGGTATTTTTTATCGCCTCATGCTTCCAAAAGCTGGAAAATGAATAAGGTAAAAATAATGCCTTTGAATTATGGTCTTGGTGAAGAATATTGGATATAACATGGACTCCCAGAAGAATGAACAAATCTAAGTTCCTTAGAATCGAGGATGGTGGTACTTTGTCTCCTACACTGTGGACATGCTACTAGTCAAGACTCTCCCTGGCACATCATACCTGGCACAGGGTCCGAGAAAAAAGGCCTGCAGTAAGATATATTGACACTGGATGCAACTTAGGCTCTGTGGTAATACATTCTTGTATTAACAGAATCGCCCTAAGGAGTTGGAGATTAATGATGTCCCAAATGCCCCATTCTTCCAAGATGTTATTCAGTTCCATTTCCTCCCCATTGTTCCTTTGTATTATATTCCCTCATGTTCCTGGGCTCTGAATGGCTGCAAAGTCTCACAAGAACTCACGGAACTGTGAGGAATTGTCTCACGTGGGGGTCGGTGCTGCTCAGTCCAAAATCCAAAGTCAGGCAGGTGAACCAAATGCAGGGCCCGGAGACAACTCACAATGTCCAAAAGTTAGCAGGTCATCTTGCTTCTACCAAGGCTCAGTTAGGAAATGGAGGTGGCTAGCTAGGTGAGTTGTTTCAGGACCAGCATTTTTGTGCCCTACCAAAACTAGTGTCAAAGCCACATACTCTACCAAGGTCAAATCACAAGGGAGCACAGTGCCTCTACTGAAAGGTCTCAGAGACATTCTGAAGGGAATGCTTATGCCTGGTCTGGCTATGCCTTCTACAGAGGTGGTGTCTTCAAGCTGTCCCCATGGAAACAGGGTATGCCTCAGCCCACCCCTTCCACTCAGGTCACCCTGACTATGGCCCTCCAAAATGGGACCATAGTCAAAGATGTATAAAATCAGAGCTGTAATATGTATGGGACCATGGCTAAGAAGGATCACATTAATTGACCATAACTCTCCTGGCATACTCTTAACATAGCAACAAATGTGAAGATGGAACAGGGCCAGGCAGTGTTTTGTTCTGTTGTGCACCTGGTGGCTGAGAGTCAAAATTGACTGCGCTTAGAGAACAATTAAGCTGGAGCCCTGGTGGCATAGTGATGGTGCACGCTGGGCTGTGATCTGCAAGGTCTGCAGTTCGAAACTGCCAGCCTCTGTGAGAGAAAGACTTTCTACTCCCATAAAAAGTTACAATCTTGGAAACTCACAGGGGCAGTTAGGATGGCTGTATGTCAACATTGATCCAACACTCGAGCGTTGGACTGTTTGGACACAAGGCTGCCTGGCCGTACTATATGCGGTTCTCCCTTCAGTCCCACCCGGTCTCAGTGAGTTTGAGGGTTGTTTTTTTGAAGAACAATAAAGGATAAATCGAAGATTAAAAAAGTTATTAAGTAGCTTGGCCACAGTTGTCAGCCTGTAACTGGAGAGGCAGGAGTGAACCCCTGGCAGTTTGGTGTCTCTTTGCTTACTCTGCTCCAGTAACACAGGCCACTCAACCTGGGCATCTGCCTTTGATGTGTGAAAAGTACCTGGCTCACTGGGTTTTCAGGTGTGTTATCATTGCCTCTTCTGCCCTGCTGCTCTTCTTTACCCTCAAGAATTTAAACTTGCAGGTGCTGAGGTCTTGTATTCTCCCACTCGGCTCCTTTGCCTGCCATTCCTCTTTAGAACCCTCATGCAGTAGACAGGACCCCTGTGCAGTCTTACCTGGCTTCTGGCGCTGCCTCCTTAGGTGGACATCTTCAATAAGGAGCTGCTGCTAATCCCCATCCACCTGGAGGTGCATTGGTCTCTCATCTCTGTGGACGTGAGGCGACGCACCATCACCTATTTTGACTCGCAGCGCACTCTAAACCGCCGTTGTCCTAAGGTTTGAGGGGGAAGGGGGAGACAGATGGAACATGGGAGATCCAGGGGCAAAACATCCAGGAAGGAGGGTGGGACTTGGGCCTCTGAGAAGCAAACTGGGCAGGAGACCTACAGGCACCCTACCCTGGGATCAATTGGGAGATAAGTGTCACTTTCTCCTTTTCCCCACCCACATAGCATATTGCCAAGTATCTACAGGCAGAGGCTTTGAAGAAAGACCGACTGGATTTCCACCAGGGCTGGAAAGGTTACTTCAAAATGGTATGTTTTCAGAGGGAAGGGAGAGTGGGGACAGTGTGGTGGCATCATGCCCTGCAGTCTGCGGGAGACGGGCCTGTTTTCCGTTCTCTAGAACGTGGCCAGGCAGAACAATGACAGTGACTGTGGCGCCTTCGTGCTGCAGGTAAGCAGGTGACGGGTCTTTATCCCACTTGTGAAGTCCCTTTCGGGGGAGAGGTGGGAGGCGGGGGTTCTGCAGCACTCTGTGGATCGTAGCCAGCCTTGGAGCAACTTGACGTGTCCGAGTGCAGAAACCGGATTTCAGTGTTCTCCTGGCCTCGGGTCTCACACCCAGGAGCTCGGGGGGCTTGCACTTTGGGCTATGCTTGGGATGACTAACTGCAAGGTCAGCAGTTTGAACCCACTAACTGTTTCACAGGAGAAGGATGAGGCTTTCTGCTGTACTAAGGATTTTCAGCCTCAGGGACAATTCTGTCTGTCCGATGACAGGGTCACTGTGAGTTGGAATCGACTGACTCAATGGCAGTGAGGGTTTTGGGGGTTTTGTTTCCTTGAACTCCCTTGAACACTGCATTATCTAGCAAGTAGGCGCACTAGTGTGAGAGCCCGCCTGTGATCCTGTCTGTGACAGGTATAGTACATCTCGTATGAAGTGTGCACAGGTCCTGGCATTGGGGTGGGGCTGCTCAGGGAACGCTTCTCATGACCTGCTTTGTTACCACCCAACCCAGTACTGCAAGCACCTGGCCCTGTCTCAGCCGTTCAGCTTCACCCAGCAGGACATGCCCAAACTCCGTCGGCAGATCTACAAGGAGCTGTGTCACTGCAAACTCACTGTGTGAGCCTGGTTAACCCAGACCCCGAGCCCTTTCAGGGGCAAGGGAACATGGAAAAACTGTTCCTCACCCCAATTCCTTTCTTCCTTTCCCCACCCAGTTCTTTTGTTTTTTTCATATTTAAGTGTTTAAATTCCTGTATTTCCCCTATCCCCTTTGAGAGACTTATTTGTTGCTTTCTGATGGGCAGGGGACAGCCATGGCTATGCCTCTTTGTCCCTCTGTAAGGGGATGTGGCCCTGGGGCCTTCATGGGGCAAGCGTCCCTCATCCATGTGCAAAGGGCAGGAAAATATAAGTGCTGGGGGGTGGGGGACAAGCAAAAAGAATTACTGCCTGCCAGATCCTTGAACATTTTTTATATATATATATATATATATATAAATGCCATGGTCCTGCTCTGGTCAATAAAGGATCCTTTGGAGATAACATAAGTGGTGGTCTTCCTTAAGGGCCTCAAAGTGGTGATATGAGTCCTCCCCCCCGTCACGTCTAGTTTGGGTCCTATCAGGGAACAGCTTGCCATCTCTAGCTCTGGTAGTGCCAACCCCTGAGTTTGCACCACCCTAATGGACCCCATCGCCACCCCCAGGTGAGGGGCGCAAAGGGACAAAGGAACGAAGTGGGAATGCCTCCGAAACCCAGGAGTGTGAAAGGCTGGAAACAGACCTGAAGGGACTTAGACCCAGCAATAGTTTGCTCCATCCTCGCCTTTTCCCAGGCTTAGGACAGGATCTTTTCCCAGCCCCTTGGGTGTGACTTCTAATGAGTACACCGGACACATCCGGGCCGTGTGCCATCAGTCTTGGCTGAAGGGCATAACATCGCTAAAAACTGGAAACCTGAAGCCAAGGCAAAGGGAAGTGGTAATCCCGGGAGCCCGGAAGTCCCTGGAGGCTGAGACCGGGCCCTCCCCGGCGTGATAGGGACCACACGGCCACGTGACCCGGGCACGATCCGCTCCCCACGTGTAAGGGAACAGGGCCCAAGATGGCTGCCAGACCTCGAGGGCTGGCTTCTGGATGTCACTTCCGCGCCGGCGAGAAGGGCGGGCCCTTCAGCCAATGAGCACGTGGGGCGGGCCGTGGCCCTGACGGGCACCTAGGTTACCCAATGGTGGCTGGCTGCCGGCGCGCCGACGCCCTAACGTCACGCGGAGTTGCTGAGCGCCGGCAGGCGGGGCCGTGGCGGCCAAGCCAATGCGATGGCTGGGGCGGAGCCGGGCGCTCTATAAGTTGTCCATAGGCGGGCCCTCCGCCCTAGTTTCTAAGGACCATGTCTGCGAGCCAGGATCCCCGGTAAGAAAGGGCTTTGCAGAGGCTATGGGTGCTTACCCGCTCGCTGCGGGGCGCCCTGCTGGGGGGGGGGGCGGTTCGGGCAGCCCTCCCGGGGAAGGGCAGCTGCCTTTCGGGGCCTAGCGCGCGGCTCGGTGCCCGTCCAATTGCTTCCCTGCCGAGACACGGCTCGCGCGCCGGCCGGCCGAGAATTCTGACGCGACCAGCCGCCCCGGCGGGGGTGCGGGCTCCTGCCTCCTCGTGGGTGGGATCTGCGTCAGGGGGACAGGGATCGGCCCATCCGTGTGCTGGTTCCCTTAACGGCCAGGACTGAGCCTCCCCTGAGGAGCGGTCGCGGGGGGCGCCGGGCGGGTCCATTCTCGCCCCTCAAGCCGGGCAGTGGGCAAACTGCGGTCGGGCAGGCCCACCCGTAACGGGGTGAGCGGCCTTAGGGGTGGGAGGGCGACGCCATTTCGTGACGGGGGCGGCCAGGGTGAGGATTGTTCCGTGGACGGGGGGAGGGGGTGGGCGCCACCGGGTGGTCGGGGGAGCGAGCACATGGCTGCCCGAGCGAGGCGCTCCCCGCCCCCCCCCCACCACCCCCCGGCTGCTTCGCTTCTGAGTTGTGCAATCTCCCCCTGAGCTCGCCGGGCTGGGGCCTCATTGTGCGCGAGGCCGCCACCGCCCGCGGCCTCCCACATCCGGGCACTGCGAGGAGGAGGGGGACCGGCTGGAGAGAGTGGGGGGAGGGCGCGGGCGTAATGACGTGGGGAAGGGGATGTCCTCTTCCAGCCTGGGAGGTGAAGGGCGGGACTTCCGGCGCGCTGGGGCCGAGGTGGGAGGTGCGTGCTGGGGCTCTGAGCGGCCAGGCCCGGGACACATGGGCCCGGCGGCGAGCACCGGGTCTGAGCACTCTCAAGCACGTCGGCGTACCCCTTGGCCTAGGGGTTTTCCCGGTGGGGTGCCCATCCTGTCGGGCGGGAACGGTTTGGACAGACCTGCCTCAGTTTCCCGTGCTGGGTAGGGGGTGGTATCACAAGGTTATGTTTTAATTGACAGGTCTAGAGACAATGGCCCTGATGGGATGGAGCCCGAAGGTGTCATCGAGGTAAGACGAGCCCAGGGAAAATTGCCCTGAACCCTGGTTCCTGTAGTGTTCCCTCGTTCAGTAATTGCAAGTTTAAGTTGAGATCCCAGAAGTCGAAGCAAAATGTGTGTGACCCCTGTGTGTACTTAGGAGATTGCGGCTTGGCTTACTGGGAGCTTTAAAATTCAGTTCTAACCAGGTTTTGTGCTTTATCATTTAACCAGAGATTTCCATGGGCAGGTTAGCTTCCTTGGAGGGAGGGCGGGCTGAGGGAGGCCCACCTTTATGGGTTTTTTTGTGTTTTCCTGTCTCTGTAGAGTAACTGGAATGAGATTGTTGACAGCTTTGATGACATGAACCTCTCAGAGTCTCTGCTCCGAGGCATCTACGCCTATGGTTTTGAGAAGCCCTCTGCCATCCAGCAGCGAGCTATTCTTCCTTGTATCAAGGGTGAGCCTTCTGCCCTCAAGCTGATTTTAACCCTAGCCCCACCCCTAACCTGAATGACCCTTAGTTCTTTGTGTATCCCATCTTGGCTGTTGATCCATGTCCTTGAGTAGCCCACCTATCTTTGCTTCTGTAATCCTTTTCCCACTACATAATTATTTTACTGTAAGGTGTAAAAGTTTGCAAAGTGTTTGTTTGCAAAGTTACACTTTTCGAATTGCTTATTCTTGTTAAGCAGGTGCCAAGACTTTCGAATGTCCTGTGAGCTCTACCATACCTATTTCTAATTTCCATTTGCTTAGGTTATGATGTGATCGCTCAAGCCCAATCTGGGACTGGGAAAACCGCCACTTTTGCCATATCAATCCTGCAGCAGATTGAATTAGATCTGAAGGCCACCCAGGCCTTGGTTCTGGCTCCCACTCGAGAACTGGCCCAGCAGGTAAGCGGATGCCTTCTCCCCTGGAAGACTGGTAGATGTGATTAGCATTTTCTAAAATTCAGCAAGGTGCACTCTAACCACCAATCCCGGGGGCTGAAATGTAGGGTAGGTGGGGTGTGGGAAGAAATGCCAAGAGACTGAATGGGTTAATTATAAGTCCTTTGCTACCCAAACACAAGTGCCATTTCCTGAGTCAGATGGGCTGCTTGTTGGGTGGAGGCTGGCTGGCTGGCTGGCTGGGCAAGTTTGGTGGCTGTTTGATGAATGAACCCCTGGCTATGGGCAAAGAGACACCTGATTGGTGGTGGTGCTCTTATATCAGTCAGGGGCAAAGCAGACTGGCAGCCCTTTGTTCATCCTAGCTTGATGCCTGGATTGTGGCCAGAGCTGTTTCATGCCTAGGGCACATAAAACTGATGTGGGCTGCACTTGGCCTTCAGAACTTTCCACGGGTTCAGCTCCTGTCAGGTGTCGGGAGTCATCTGTGTTGGTAGCTCACAGAGGTAGCTTTCCTCCAAGAAGCAATACTTGAGATCAGCAATCAGACTGAGTTCATGGTCTTCTCTGCTTAGTTTTCAGTGTGATCCACAAGGGATTTAATGTTTCACTTTTCACCTGTACACGGTTTGAGTGGTGTTTATCTCGGGATTGTTGGGAGGAGTACAGCAAACCTGCCACAGTTAGAGTTAATGAATGCTCTTGTGGTTCAGATACAGAAAGTGGTGATGGCACTAGGAGATTATATGGGTGCTTCCTGCCATGCCTGCATTGGGGGCACCAATGTGCGCGCCGAAGTGCAGAAGCTGCAGATGGAGGCCCCACATATCATCGTGGGCACCCCAGGCCGTGTATTCGACATGCTTAATCGAAGATACCTGTGTGAGTGCAACCTCAAGTTTTCCCATTACATTCCCAGGGATGCTAGTTCTCCCTTCTCTGAAAGAACTGCTCTGTGATGAACCCCATGCGTGTCATCTGAGCCCAGATTCCCTGTTGTCTCAGCCCTGGTGTGGTGTTCTACTTCCCAGAGCTGTTGTCTGACCCAGTAGGAGTCTGGACAAAGGATCTATCTTTCCATTCTGAGAGCAGACCACCTAGCCCCTTGTTTTGACAGAAGGTCGAGTCTATATATTTAATGTTCAACATTTCCTACAGCTCCCAAGTATATCAAGATGTTTGTACTGGATGAAGCCGATGAAATGTTAAGCCGTGGGTTCAAGGACCAGATCTACGACATATTCCAAAAACTCAACAGCAACACCCAGGTAAGAAAAGCACAAGTAATGTTTTTGTGTAGTTGATGATTCCTATGTGCAAGTTGTGGTTGGGCCTAAAGAGTGCCAAAGGGTGACATGCAGAGAAACCTGGTGAGGTGCCTCTTGAGAAACAAACAGCCTTCCTCTGGCTTTCAGGAGTGGTTTCAGTTGGAACCCAATTGTCCCCAACAGGGAGGACAGGCATCACGGATTGTTTTCTACCCCAAAGACTCTCTTTCAATAGGTAGTCTTGCTGTCGGCTACCATGCCTTCTGATGTGCTTGAGGTGACCAAGAAGTTCATGAGGGACCCCATTCGGATTCTGGTCAAGAAAGAAGAATTGACCCTGGAGGGTATCCGTCAGTTCTACATCAATGTGGAGCGTGAGGTGAGGCTTAATGCAGGAGGCGGGCCTGGTTGTTTGATAAGAAGCTGTTGGGTATATAGCTGTTGGTGGCTTTCTCTCCCCTTTCCCTGTCCTCAGGAGTGGAAGCTGGACACGCTGTGTGACTTATATGAAACCTTGACCATCACCCAGGCAGTCATCTTCATTAATACCCGGAGGAAGGTTGACTGGCTCACTGAGAAGATGCATGCCCGAGACTTCACTGTCTCTGCGATGGTGAGCTTCTCGTGTCTGTCCCTGTGCCTGGTTGAAAAAAGCCATTTTCCCAGGACCTGTGTCCACCTGCAGCCTTCTTCTGTTGTAGCACGGGGATATGGACCAAAAGGAACGGGACGTGATTATGAGGGAGTTCCGTTCTGGTTCTAGCAGAGTCCTGATTACCACTGACTTACTGGTGAGTTAGAGGGGAAATTGAAGACTGGGGAGGAGAGAAGGGGACAGTCCAAGATGATTCCCTCTTCCAAGGGACCAACTCGTGCCCCTCTCAGGAAAGTAGCAGCTTGGAATAGAAATGGCCTGCCCAAGATGGCCTTGGGTGAAAGGAATGCTCGTCTCCTTTTGCCCTCCTTTGGCAGCCTACATAGATCAATAGTTGGCCCCTCACCCTTGCTAACGCCCTTGCCTTTCGCTGCCTTAGGCCAGAGGCATTGATGTGCAGCAAGTTTCTTTAGTCATCAACTATGACCTGCCCACCAACAGGGAAAACTACATCCACAGGCAAGTATAGACCTGCAGCACTCTTCAAGCACCCTCATTGGTCCCATCCTGTCCCTTTGCCGCTGAAGTCTGTCTCTGTTGACTTGCAGAATTGGTCGCGGTGGACGTTTTGGTCGTAAGGGGGTGGCTATTAACATGGTGACAGAAGAAGACAAGAGGACTCTTCGAGACATCGAAACCTTCTACAACACCTCCATTGAGGAGATGCCCCTCAACGTTGCCGACCTCATCTGAGGGGAGGGGCTATCTGTCCTGCTGCCTGGCCCTGGCCAGGGTTTAATCCTGGGGGGGCTGAGGAGGAACTGCAGGAGGAGGAGGGGGGAGGGAAAGGGAGCCAAGGGATGGACATCTTGTCATTTTTTTTCCTTTGAATAAATGTCACTTTTGGAGGCAAAAGAAGGAACCGTGAACATTTAGACACCCTTTTCTTTGGGGTAGGCTCTTGCCCCAGGCGCCGTCTCTTCTCCCCAAAACAAAAAACACTAATCCATTTCCCTAACCGAGTCACTTCCCCGCCCCAGCCAAATCCCTCTGAGAAGATTCAGGGGCGACAGTGCCACTCAACCCCACTTGCTGGACCAAATCTGGAGGGAGAACCCGAGGGAGGTGGCCCAGAGCATTGTTCCTGGGGGGCAGGGGAGAGATGGCGGTAGCCATTTTTACGTTGTTTTGTATAGTATTTATTGATTCAGAAAAGAAACACGGAATTCTGAATAAAATGACTTGGAAACTGCCTGTTTGGGCTTCTCATTTCTTACCTCCCCCTCCCCCAGCCACCTGCTACTGGGTCCATCTCTGTTCTCCCTTGGACCAGCTAAAATCACCCTTTTGTCATGTGACTTGTAAACTGAATTAACCAGACGACCCTCAACACAAACCTTGAGCTCACCAGGATTAGGTGGTCTTGAAAGGGGTGGGTGAGGACATAACTAAGTGCTTAAGAGGAAGTAATGGAACATCTTTGTTGAGAGTGGTTTATGAACACTTCCAAAGAGGCAGGGGTGATGCACAACTGGGTCACCATTGCCCAAGTCTTAAGATAGGCCAGCAGCTGCTGAAAAACTTGTCTCACTCACATGATCTTTGCCCTGACCCTCCCAGTTGGGGGAGCTGGGGCCAATCCTGTGGCTTCGGACAAAAACACTGTGACTAAGAGGTTGGTGACTGGAGCCGAGGTGCCTGAGTCAGGTTGGGGGTTGGTATCTTCTCAGTTACAGGAAATAGGACTTTCATTTCCTCCTTTCCCAAAGAAGGCAGAAGGAATAGGGTTGGTGGAGCAAACGGATAGTGATTGGCAGCAGTGAGTTGGACTATTGGACTTTGGGTGAGGAGGTTCTGCCATGAGGCTGGCTGTGTTTTTCTCTGGGGCCCTGCTGGGGCTACTAACAGGTAAGCTTCGCCTGGAGGGAGGGGGCTTCAGGGAAGACCTTTGCCCGGGGGTTGCTAACCACCCCATCCCCTCTGCTGAAAGCCAAAGGAGCACCATGCAATGACTGCCCTCGCAGAAAATCGGCCACTCTACTGCCGTCTTTCACGGCGACACCTACGGCTACAGAAAGCACCCTCAGCCCTGGGACGACCAGCCACGGGACCACCGAGAGCCACAAGACGACCACGCAGAGAACAGCTCCCACAGGCACCACCAGCCACAGATCCACAACTCCAACTCGCCAGCCTGCCACCACCACCAGTCATGGAAATGTCACCGCTCATCCGACAAGCAATAGCACTGCTACTAGCGCAGGGATCACCACTTCCTTCCACCCAGGACCACCCCCGCCCTCGCCAAGCCCTAGCCCAGGCTCCAAGGAAGTCGTAGGAGATTACATGTGGTTCAATGGTACTCAACCATGTGTCCGGCTCCAAGCCCAGATTCAGATTCGAGTCCTCTACCCAACCCAGGATGGAGGGAAGGTAAAGCTGGAACTCGGTGGAGGTGGGGGGGGGGGGTTTGTGTGCATGTGCAGGGGAGTTGGCAGAGGGCTCAGAAGCGGGGAGGAAGAGTGGAGAAAAAGAAGGGGTGGGGATGAAAGGATTAAAACTGCAGCCTGCCCATGTAGCCTGGTGACACTGATCTTTAATTTCCACAGGTCTGGGGCATCTCTGTACTGAACCCCAACAAAACCAAGGCCCAGGGCAACTGTGAGGGTACCCATCCTCTCTTGCTTCTCTCATTCCCCTCTGGACAGCTCCACTTTGGCTTCAAACAGGTAAATCTTCCCTCTGGGTACCCACCCCTGGCCAATCCGTCGCTGTCTTACGTGGGCCTGGATGCGACGCACAGCTGCCCTCCTGCTCCCTTCCCCAGGACCCGGCACAGAGGGTTGTGTACTTAAACTACGTGGCGGTGGAGTACAATGTGTCCTTCCCCAAAGCTGCACGTGAGTAGCCCCGCTAGCTCCCCCTTCTCACTGGGAGCACGAGCTGGCTGGAGCACATCTCCCGGATTGGGGTCTGACCCTTCTTCCCCCTTTCAGAGTGGACTTTCTCGGGTCAGAATTCATCCCTTCAAGATCTCCAAGCCCCCCTGGGCCAGAGTTTCAACTGCAGAAATGCAAGCATCATCCTTTTGCCAACGTTCCAACTTGATCTGCTCTCCCTGAAACTGCAGGCTGCTCAGCTGCCCTCCACGGGGGTCTTTGGACCAAGTAAGTCTGGTTCCTTCTCTCCCAGAATGCTTCTACAGCACTGAAAGCCCCTCCCTCTGGGCCGGCGCATAAGCCAGTTCCCTGTTTTTCATGTAAAACTGGGAAATACCGTCTCAGCCTCCTCATGGTTATGGAGCATAAGCCCTCCCCTTGGCGACAGCAGGCTCGGCCCACGTCCCCCTTTTACATACTGCTCAGTCACCTGTGTCCCACTTCCGATGTCCTCTCTACCCAAGGACAATACTCCCGTAATGCTCACTGGGGCTTATCGTTCTGCTAGGTTTCTCTTGTCCCAATGACCAGTCCATCTTGCTGCCTCTCATCATCGGGTTGGTGCTCCTCGGCCTCCTCGCCCTGGTGCTGGTTGCCTTCTGCATCGTCCGCAGACGCCCACCCAGCTACCAGCCGCTCTGAGCATCGGCCTCCACCCCTGCGTTTATTTCCTCCCATGCAGCTGACTCCAAGACAGTCTTCCTCCTTCCCTCGTGTCTGGAGCAAAAATAGACCTCAGCCAGCGAGGAAGGGTGTGGCAATTTTTATTCCGCCCAACCAGTTTCCCCTTCCCCGCTGGGAGCCAGAGACGGGTGAAAACCGGTAGCAGTCGTTGCCCTTGGTCTCCCTTTGTCCTGCCGGAATTAAAAGCTACGAGTTTCTGGTCATGTGTCTTTCTGTGTCTTCTATGGCCGAGTCTCAGGAATCCAGGAACTGCTGTCCAATGTGTGACTGCCGGTCTTCCTCTGCTGGGGTCAAGCCTGCTCAGTTCACCGGGCGACCCCAGTGGAGCCGGCCATCCAAGAAACCTCCTTCGAGACTCATCTGCAGAGAAAGGTGCGGCAGGCAGCAAAAAGCATGGGGGAAAGGCCACAGCTGTGTCATTTCCTTTTCAAAGGCTGCCCATGAGCCACCAGAATGTCCTCCTGTTCATTGTGTCCATGGCTACCTGAAGTCTGCCTGGGCCACTGCTCCCCTGCAGTGCACCTCTGCCACCTATTAAAATTAGTCTTACTCACCAAGGCAGCACGAGGTAGCTTCAGTGCTCCGGAGACCAGCATGCCCTCAGCCTCAGCCCACGCACCCTGTACCGGCAGCAGGGCAAATGGCACCCTGGGACGATCTGTCCAGGGCCTGGCTAGAAAGGGCCTCTTGACTGCAAGCAGTAGTGGAATCATTGCTGGGGTCCAAGAAGGGGATGTGTGGGCACCCTGGCAGCCCAGCTTGCTGTGGGCGCCACGACCACCTCACAGGCAAACATCACTTGAGACCCTGCGGGCTGCACAGCGGAGACACTGAAGTGTGGCTCACCGCGTTGTTGGCACCAGGCCTGCAGCAGCCACAGCGTGATGCCCATGCGCCCCGTGTCGGGTGTCCCGGAGCTGGACTGCACGGGCACAGGTTTCTGCCAGGGCGTCGTCCAAGGTGCCCTTCCCTCCGCAGGGCTGCCTGCAACACAACTTCCCCAGCGGGCAGCCCCCAAGGTGCTGGGGCGTGCCCCGACCCACAGGGGGCGCCCTCGGCTCATCAGCAGGTGGGGGCTGCCCCCGGCGCTACCACCACCCAAACCGGTCCCCCCACCTAAACCTCCGGGGGCGCTGCCGGCTCTGGACATGGAGTGGCCCAGGGCCTGGGCCCCGCGAGGGGCGGGGGCAACAGGGAGCGCTGTCCTCCGCGGACACGGACACTCAGCTCGCCCGCCCGTCCTCATCCTCTGCGTTACTGCCCCGGGCCCTGCAGTGGCCGGCGCGGCCATATCCCAAGGCCTGGGCGAACAAGAAGAGGGCGAAGCGCAGGGCCCTGCGCGCAGCCCGGCGCCTCAGGAGCGCTGCCCGGCGCCGGACGTCCTGCTGCCGCCGGTGCCGTTCCCTCTGAAGACGCTGGGAACACAGGAGACAGAGCGCTACAGCGGCCCCGTCCAACGCCATTTTGGAGACACGCGTTCCTTCCCTCTCGACTTCGAGTGATAGGAAACGACACAGAGTTGGATGGAGGAAGGACAAGATGGCGCCGAGCAAGGGGAAAGGGGGCAAGGCGTGGGGGGCGAAGTCTCGCTTTGGAAATGGAAGCGTAAACAAAGGCACGAAAGCCGTCACTGCGCAGGCGCGGAGCCTTGGCGCGCTTGAAAGTTCGAACGGCAGGGTGCGTGCAAAACCAGGCCTTCGAACGAGACCCACTTCGCCCTCTGCGCGTCGCTGGTGGAATCCAGAGCAGCGGGGTGAAAGGATTAAAACTGCAGCCTGCCCATGTAGC